AAAATTCTTGGAAAGAATTCAGGGAGACATATGTGGGCCAATTAATCCAGCATGTGGACCATTTCGATATTTCATGGTTTTAATTGATGCCTCTACACGATGGTCACATGTTAGTCTACTTTCAAGTAGAAATGTTGCCTTAGCAAAATTACTTGCCCAAATCATCAAATTAAGAGCACAATTCCCAGATCATACAATAAAGAAAATAAGACTTGACAATGCTGGGGAATTTACATCCCAAACATTTAATGATTATTGTATGTCAATTGGAATTGATGTTGAACACCCAGTAGCTCATGTTCATACACAAAATGGTCTAGCTGAATCACTAATTAAGAGATTACAATTGATTGCCAGACCATTATTAATGAGGTCAAGATTGCCATCATCTGCTTGGGGACATGCTATAATACATGCAGCAGCGCTAATTAGATTGAGACCTACAACTTATCATAAATTCTCACCACTACAACTTGTTTGTGGTCGAGAACCAAGTATCTCACATCTAAAAATCTTTGGTTGTGCTGTATATGTTCCCATTGCTCCACCCCAACGAACAAAAATGGGTCCACAAAGAAGGCTGGGAATTTATGTCGGGTTTGAATCCCCCTCTATAATTAAATACCTTGAACCATTGACTGGTGACTTATTTACGGCTAGATTTGCGGACTGTCACTTTAATGAAACAGTATTCCCAACCTTAGGGGGAGAGAAAGTGGACCAACATAAGAAAGAAATTGAACTCATTTGGAATGCAACACAATTGTTGATGTTAGACCCACGAACAAATATGTGTGAACAAGAAGTTAAGAAAATTGTTCATTTACAAAGTGTTGCAAATCAATTGCCTGATGCATTTGTAGACACAAAGAAGGTGACAAAATCACATATACCAGCAGAAAATGCCCCTGCACGTATTGAAATCCCAACTGGTAATAAGGCCATAGAAAATGAATCTCAGGCACGCAGAAAGCGTGGAAGACCACTTGGTTCAAAAGATTCTAAGCCAAGAAAATTGAAAAGATTGGATGGAATAGAAAATGAGACTAATGATGTTCCCCCGTCAGAAGGTCAAGAAAAACCAAATGTGGATGAAAGTAAAGAAAATGATGATAATCCAAAAGGGACGAACAAGAAGACAACCCTACGGGGAATGAACAAGATGTTCAAAACATCGATAACAATGAAATTTCAATGAATTACGTCTCTACAAAGACTCAGTGGAATAGGAAAGATGTTATCGTTAATGAAACATTTGCAAATTCCATCGCAATCGACATCGTGTCCGATGAAAATGATGTTGAACCAAGAACTGTAGAAGAATGTCGACGTAGGAGTGATTGGCCAAAGTGGAAGGAGGCAATGCTGGCTGAGTTAAAGTCACTTGAAAAACGAGAAGTTTTTGGGAAAATAACCCTTACACCAGCAGGTGTAAAACCCGTTGGATACAAATGGGTATTTGTAAGAAAACGTAATGAGAAAAATGAAATAGTTAGATACAAGGCAAGACTTGTAGCCCAAGGATTTTCTCAAATTCCATTGATTATGAAGAAACATATTCTCCAGTGGTTGATGCAACTACATTAAGATTTCTGGTAAGTTTGACAGTCACAAAAGGACTGCAAATGCGATTAATGGATGTAGTGACTGCGTATTTGTATGGGTCACTCGATACGGACATTTACATGAAAGTCCCCAAAACTACCAGAAAACCACAAGCCTAGAAAACTGCTTTCCATAAAACTAAAAAGGTCACTTTATGGATTGAAACAATCTGGAAGGATGTGGTACAACCGTCTGAGTGAATACCTTATGAGAGAAGGATTCAAAAACAACCAAGTTAGTCCCTGTGTTTTCATAAAGCGATCACAATCAGGATTCTCTATCATTGCAGTTTATGTTGATGATTTAAATATCATCGGAACCCCAAATGAACTCGAGAAAACTGCAAAATACTTGATGAAAGAATTTGAGATGAAAGACCTTGGGAAAACTAAATTTTGCCTTGGACTACAAATTGAGCACTTGAGTCATGACATTTTTGTCCATCAATCAAACTATACAGAAAGAGTTTTGAAACGTTTCTTCATGGACAAAGCAACCCCAACCAACTTCCCAATGGTTGTTCGTTCTTTGAATATGAAAAATGATCCATTCAGACCCCGAGAAGAAAATGAAGAGATTCTGGGTCCAGAAGTACCATACTTAAGTGCAATTGGAGCCTTAATGTACTTAGCTAACAATACTAGACCCGACATAGCTTTCTCTGTGAATTTGTTAGCCAGGCACAACAATGCACCAACATATAGGCATTGGAAGGGAGTTCGACACTTACTCCGGTACCTACGAGGGACACAAGACCTTGGTTTATATTACCAACCAAAACAAGATGCTGCTCTCATTGGGTATGCAGACGCTGGATACTTATCAGATCCTCAAAATGCCAAGTCACAAAATGGATATGTATTCACTTATGGCGGCACTGCAATATCATGGAAATCAACAAAGCAGACATTGACCGCGACATCATCAAATCATGCAGAGTTGATAGCCCTCTATGAAGCAGGACGGGAATGTGTGTGGCTGAGGTCGATGATCAGTAATATCCAAAAGGAGTGTGGAATGAACGCAATAACAGAAGACCCAACTATCATCTTTGAAGACAATACAACATGTATCGCTCAAGTAACTGAAGGATATATTAAGGGAGATAAAATGAAACATATTGCCCCAAAACTGTTCTTCACACAAGATCTGCAAAAGGACGAGGAAATAAGTATCCAGCAAATTCAGTCTTGTGAAAATCTTGCCGACCTTTTCACCAAATCACTTCCTTCGAAGAAATTTGAACAGTTAGTTCACAAAATCGGAATGCGACATCTTCGTGAACTATGCTGAGATCAGGGGGAGTATTATATGTACTGCACTCTTTTTCCCTTCGATCAGGTTTTTATCCCACCGGGTTTTTCCTGACAAGGTTTTTAACGAGGCAGTATACCAAAGCATATAATACTATATCGTTGTACTCTTTTTCCCTAGCTATGGTATTTACCCCATAAGGATTTTACCTAGCAAGGTTTTTAATGAGGCAACAAATACCTTTCTGTATAATAAGTATGGGCATTCAAGGGGGAGTGTTAGAAGATAAATATGAATGCCTATAATTGTTTGATTTGATTTCACAATGTTCACACAAGTCCAAAGACTTGTGAACTTGTGTGGCATTATATGTAAAACTCTTGGCTATATAAGCCATGTTACCGGAGCAATATACATAATCAATTTCTCCATCTTCTCTTACTCCTTTATAAAACTTTCTATCAGTAAAACTTTAATATTTTCCTTTTTTTTTTTAATACAACAAGGGAAACCTGCCTGTTATAGTCTTATGTCTAGATTATAAGAAGTCACAAAGGTCTAGCAATGCTTGACAATCAACTCTTGATTTGATTGCAAAATAAGCTTAGACTGTGTTACTCATATATCGGCTCCATAAGTAAACATAAAAGGTTCAAATACACAATATGTTTGTACTTTCCTGTCAAAAAAAAAAAAGGTTTGTACTTTGTAATATGTATATATGGGTGTATGCTATATACGTATATTCACTCTATGCAGGCTATATAAATTTCAGGGAAGGGGTAATTGGGTAAATACTGTTGTTTTCAAGGGCTTTTTAAAGGGCTCAACATGCTGCAAACTTAACCGCGCATGTTACTATGCCAGTGACTAATTTAAACAGATTGAGGATTGACAATCGTCAGTGTATATAGTTTGTCTTGGATCATCCTCTAGTGTTCCTTACTAGGAGGGTTGAAGAAATTGTGATTGATTGAGCTGCAAATCGAATAGAATATTTATATTTGCTACAAAATATGGAGAATAAAGTCTATATATTTAGGTGTGTTCTGTTTAAGTATTAATATGATAGTTTTTGTGTTTTTTGGTAAGAGAAGAAGGAACTATTGAACTGAAACTTTTTACTAGTCAACTCAATCCAGATTTGCAGTTAAGGCCCCTTGAAAGTGAGGGGAAGGGTAAAGAAGTCTTCCACTCTCAAGTTACTTATAGTGGAATTTTATGGTTGCGAGATGACAATCTTTACCATTAGACTAAGTATTACTTAAGGAGAGTGTTACTTATAATGGAATTTCATGGTTGTGAGATGACTATCTTTACCACTAGACTAAGTATTACTTAAGAAGAGGGACTCTTGTGAAAGGATCTAGCTTGGTAAGAACTTTAATCTTACCTTTTTTTAAAAAAAAAAAAAACTTTATCTGTAGGATAGTAGGAGAAAACATTAGTTATTACTGTTGTATGTAGTCTTCAACAAGTAAGTTTTTGTGGGAGCATTGTCCCACATGGAAAGAATATGAAAGGTTGGTCTTGTTTATTAACTTCTCAAAAACATGTCCATGGAGAGAGTGAAAATTATACTGTGTTTTCATTCTTAGAAATAGGATATTCCTGGGGGTAAATTAGCGTAGGAATTCCCATCAGCATCGTGGGGGCTAATATTATCCTAAGGACAGAGATTAATCTCGTCCTATTCTGTTTGTATTATTATTGTAATTAGTTTTCTAATTTTCTGTAATTATAATTTTCTAACAATTACAAACGTATTTCCATGAATCAATGCAAATCAAAAATGTTTTGGAATTACAGAGAAATACTTAGCCTTTACCGGTATTTAACTTCTTTTGTAGAAGTTTTAATTACTCCTTTTGTAATTTTAATTAACTAAATGCGGTCATTTTTATTTTAATTGTTACAAATTTATTTTAGCAAATTATTAAGTAACGAATGTCTTCAATAACTAGATATTAAAATATTTTCTAAAATACAATTAATAGAAGAATGTATACCAAAATTACGCGTTAATTGAAATAATTAATGGTCATCTTATAAAACGTCCCATGATATCCATTAACTTTTGCCAATTAGTCAATTACTACTTCCTCCGTTTACTTCTTAGTTTTAGTCAAACAATAGCCACTACTCCACTAGGCACTAGCCCACTAAATATAATGGGGAAGGGAGAAATTATGTCAAGTAAACTTGGCGGGAAAAACGAAAGCAGCCATTAAAACAACCATAATATCTTGAAACTTGAACTACTCGCTCATTCTCTCTCCTCTTAGCAACTACAACAATGGAGAAAAGAGATGAACCAATACCCATTAAACTAGATGAAGAAGATGATGAAATCATTCCTACTACAACCAAAGAACCCCCTAAAATCCATCGTTTAGATGAATCTGTAATCAACCGTATCGCCGCCGGTGAAGTCATCCAACGTCCAGTATCCGCCATTAAAGAGCTCGTCGAGAACAGCCTCGATGCTCATTCTTCCTCCATTAATGTCGTTGTCAAAGATGGTGGTCTCAAACTCATTCAAGTCTCCGATGATGGTCACGGAATTAGGGTAAAATTGAACTCATCCAGAAATTTTATGATTTTGTGGCGCAATCTATGTATTGAAGATTAACCCTAATTTTGGTTTGTTTAGTTTGAGGATTTGCCGATACTTTGTGAACGGCATACGACGTCGAAGTTGTCGAAATTTGAGGATTTGCAGTCGATTACATCGATGGGGTTTAGGGGTGAGGCTTTGGCAAGCATGACTTATGTTGGTCATGTGACGGTGACTACTATAACCCCAGGCCAATTGCATGGATTCAGGTAATTTTGGTGGGAATTTATTTTGAGCACAAAGTGTTTGATGAAATGCCTCTGAGAGAGAGACAGAGTTATTATTAAAGTAGGAATTGGTTCTAATGAGGGTTCATTGTTTGTTTCAGGGTGTCTTATAGAGATGGTGTTATGGAGAATGAGCCTAAACCTTGTGCTGCTGTGAAAGGGACTCAGATCATGGTACGAGCCGTAGTTACTTGGATGAAATGAGACTTTTTTGTATGTTTGTGTTGTTGATCAGATTGAATGGTGGCATGCCAATGAAAGAGAGTTGTTCTTAATAAAAAAGATTGACTTTATTTTGCTCTTCAGTGTAGAAATTGAAGTATGTCCCAGTGAATTTAAACCTGCCCTTTGATGTAATCCTTTGTTGCAAATGATTATTGAGTAAATGATCAGGCATAAATTTGGCCTTTTGAAGTAAGTAATAGAAGGAACTAACAGAATTGAATTCAACTATTGTAATATGAGAGGTTTGTATTGTTTGGTTTGGTGGTTTACTTTCTTTTTCTAGTTTATCCTTATTTTTTCACCATCTTAAATGAGGCTAATTGGACAAATATGTTACAGAGATCTGATGTTTTAGGTGAGTTTGGATCTTGAATTGAACTTTTTTCCATTGAATGTAGATCGAGAATCTTTTCTATAATATGACTGCACGGAAGAAAACACTTCAGAACTCTAATGATGATTATCCAAAGATTGTTGACTTGCTAAGTCGGTTTGCAATTCATCACATAAATGTGGGCTTTTCTTGTAGAAAGGTTAGTCTTTGGTTTTAAATTCCTCCATTTCATCTACTTTATTTCTTCAGGAGCCAACCTGATATAAAACTCATTATTTGTGCTCCTTTTATTTCTAGCATGGGGCTGCAAGAGCTGATGTTCATAGTGTTGCCACATCTTCTAGAACTGATGCGATCAGAGCTGTTTATGGTGTATCTGTTGCTCGTAATCTAATAAAGATAGAAGCCTCAGATGATGATCCATCTAGCTCAATGTTTAAGATGAAAGGTTTCATCTCCAATTCCAATTACGTGGCCAAGAAGATAACTATGGTGCTTTTTATTAATGGTATGTTCCGTGTAAATATCACCTATAATTGGGTATGATCTTTAAGTGGTCGAGATACATCCCTCACTTCCCTCTGTTCCTAAATATCGCGGAAAAGGAAATATTTTCAATTATATATTCATCTATTTACTTGTTTTTACTAAAGTGTCAGTGGTTGAAGTTAATGCTGGCAGCATGGGTGCATTTGTTTTAGCTTCAAAACATCATTGACCATTTATCGGAATATCTTTCAGATCGATTGGTTGAGTGCTCTGCTTTGAAAAGAGCTATCGAAATTGTATATGCTGCAACTTTGCCCAGAGCATCAAAACCTTTTGTATACATGTCAATTACATTACCACCTGAGCATGTTGATGTGAACATACATCCAACAAAACGTGAGGTAAGAAATAATTTTAGGTAGCTTGTAATCTTCAGATGCTTTGATTTGTTGTTGAGCCCATAGCAGTTCGTGATTGCAACCTATTTAGGTTACAAAAAATCAGCATTGTCCATCTGTTGACCTTAAGAATTTTTTTTAGATGTCTGTCTCACAAGACCCTTGTTAGTCCTGTTACCATTTTTTGGTAGATAATATTTTCTTGGTTGATTAATTGGCAGGTAAGCCTTTTGAATCAGGAAGTTATAATTGAAAAGATACAGTCAGAAGTGGAACTGCAATTGACAAACTCCAATGAGACAAGAGTATTTGAAGAACAGGTAAAATATTTTGCATCTACTACAAGAGCTTCAAATCTTTAACTTATATAGTGCATTCAACAGTTATTTTGTCTGTTGGAAAATATGCACAATGCTGAGTTTAGTCCATGATTACAACCCCTAATGTCTCTTAAATTGCCTCTAACCTTCTTGGCATCCTTTTATCCTAATTTTACAATATCTGATTCTCTCTAGAATTTCCATTGAATTCTGAGGGAAGTTAGCTTACTTATCTACTTAACCCGCAAAGTAGGGTTTCTTGCATTTGTTTGCAATCTCTAGTTCATATCGAAACCTTGGGATCTCAACTGTCCTTGTTAGTATGTTACAAACAATTACCTTTTAAAGAAATTTATTAAAATAACTATCTTGGGAGACAATTTGCTTAATAAGAGCTCCTATATGAGTATACGACAATTATTTACTTTTTGTGATTTTCAAAAGTTAACTAGTTAAGTATGGCTCCAAAATCAGTACTCCAGTAGCCTCCTGTTTCTGTCTTGTTTCCACGCATAGGGCCAGGTCTAGTTTAGTAAGCCATACTTAGATTTGAAATTGTCAAAAATTGTGAAATGGTAGTGTTCATTGAACATACATTCTTAATAGGTACTTTGTAGTTGTTTGTATAAATCGGTATATAAAAGGTATTCCCCTTCATACAATCCATCACTTATGTTAATGAAGTCGTAACAGTTTCGTAATTAATGTAGTGGTTCAATCATGACATTGGATCTCCCTTATCTTATGTAATGTGCATGCATGCATGGCTTGAATGACATCAATTGCCAAGATGGAAATTTCATAAATATTGGGATTTATTAATAAAAAAACTGTATGGATCTTCTGACCTATTGCCATGCTCATGCTTTTTCCTAGAGCTGTCAATTCGGGTAAACAAGTCGGGTTTTGGTAGGGTAAGAGTGGGTCGGGTCAACTCGGGTCGGGTCTATTCAGATTAATTCCATAACCTATACGGGTTGGGTTTGGGTTGGGTAATGCTTGAGTCAAGTCACGTCGGGTCATACTTCTTATCGAGTTTGGGTCAGGTTTAGGTCGGGTTAATAAGGTCAGGTTACATTCGGGTCAGGTGAACAATAGGTCGGGTTTAATTCGGGATTTCACGGGTTAAAACAGGTTAGGGTAATTCTCGGGTTCGAGTCGGGTTAAGTTCAAGTCAATAATTTGCGGGTTAGAATCAGGTCGGGTCATTCTCGAATTTATGTCGGGTTCGGTTTAAGTCAATAATTTGCGGATTATAATCAGGTCGGGTCATTCTCGGGTTCAAGTGAATAATTTGCGGGTTATAATCAGGTTGGGTCATTTCCAAGTCGGGTTATTCTTGGATTCAAGTCGGGTTATGTTCAAGTCAATAATTTGCAAGTTACAATCAGGTCGGGTCATTTCCAAGTCAGGTCATATTCGGGTTCAACTAACTATAAATAGATAATTATCATTTTTATCAAGCTAATTATTTCCTTTGACTATAATATATATGGCAATATACTAGGGAACTATAGTCTATAATTTAGGAAGATAATTATCTCCTTTGACCATACAACAAATATATACTATATTTAACTCTTAAATTTGAGGATGATGCTTCTTTCTTTTGTCGGCCTGGACCGACTTGGTCTCCCAAGACAAAATGGTTTGATCAACAATAATAAGGTGGTCTAATTTGCATTTAAGGTGATTTGAAATCGGGTCAGGAACAATTTAGGTTGAATTTAGGTCGGATCAATAACAAGTCGTGTTATTTCAAGTCGGGTTAGTAACACATTGGGTTTAATTTTTGGGTTGGGCAAGTAATAGGTATGGTAAAATTTAGGTCGAGTCAATAACAAGTTGGGTTGAATTTGGGTCAGGTCAATAACAAATCGGATTGATTTCAGGTCGGGTTTGTAACAAATTGGGTTGAATTCGGGTCGGGTTAGGAACAGGTCGGGTTGAATTCAGGTCAGGTTCGTAACAAGTTGAGTTAAATTCGGGTTTTGACGGGTTAAAACGGGTTTCGGTCAATTTCGAATTAAGTCGGGTTTGGTGCAATTTAATTAAATTGGCCGTTGTAAGCCAGTAAATCTGTGCAAGGTGTAGAACGGTAAATTGGCCATTTAAAAGCAAATTGAATGGTTCCACACACCCAGTTGGACTCTCGGGAATATTAGGAACCATGGTAAACATTTCGACAATTTTCATTTCTAGGCGAAAAAAAGTAAAAAAATTCCAAAATTGAAGGCTTAGTTTCCACGCTTTTTGAGAAATTTTGGAGGTTTCGAGGCCCGGTGTAGAAAAGTATTAATATTTTAGAGGATACACCTCGGGGTCATATAATGCCGTTTGGAACCATATATGATCATTATATGTTGTCATAAATATTCGTAGTAGGCTTGAGTTAATGAAATCTGTGTAAGTTGTAAACCGATAATTAAATTGGCAATTTAAAGGCAAATTAGATGGTTCCACCAACCGAATTGGACTCCTGCACAGGGACCATGAAAAACATTTCGGCAATTTTTATTTTTGGGCGAAAAAAAGTCAAAAAATTTCAAAATTGAAGACTAAAATCCACACTTTTTGAGAAATTTTAGAGGTTTTGGAGCTCGGTGTCGAAAAGTCTTGAAATTTTAGAGAATATATCTCGGGGTCATATAATGCTATTTAGAACAATATATGATCATTATTTGTTGTCATACTTTTCGTGGTAGGCTTGAGTTAATGAAATCGGTGCAATTTGTAAACCAGTAAATTGGTCGTTTAAAGGAAAATTGGATGGTTCCACTATGGATCATGGTAAACATTTCGGCAATTTTTATTTTCGGCCGAAAAAAAAGTCAAAAATTTCAAAATTGAATGCTAATATCCATGCTTTTTGAGAAATTTTTGAGAATTCGGGGCCCGTTGTCGAAAAGTTTTGAAATTCTAAGGGATACATCTCGGGGTTATTTAATGAGGTTTGGAACCATATATGATCATTATTTGTTGTCATAAATGTTTGTGGTAAGTTTGAATTAACGAAATCGGTGCAAGTTATAAACCGGTAAATAGGCCGTTTAAAGGCAAATTGGATGGTTCCACCCGCCCAATTGGACTCTCGAAGGATATAAGGGACCATGGTAAGCATTTCGGCAATGATTATTTCCGGGCGAAAAAAGTTTAAAAATTCCAAAATTAAAGGCTAATATCCACACTTTTTGAGAAATTTTTTTAGGTTTCGGAGCCCGGCATCGAAATGTGTTGAGATTCTAGGGAATACATCTCAGGATCATATATTATCGTTTGGAACCATATTTGATCACTATTTGTTGTCATAAATGTTCGTGGTAGACTTGCGTTAATGAAATTGGTGCAAGTTGAAAACTGGTAAAATGGTCGGTTAAAGACAAATTGGATGGTTCAATCCACCCAATTGGACTACCGGAGGGTATTAGGGACCATGGTAAACATTTCGACATTTTTTTTTTCTGGCGAAAAAAAGTAAAAAATTTCCAAAATTGAAGGCAATGTCTACGCTTTTTGAGAAATTTTGGAGATTTCGGGGCCTGATGTCGGAAAGTTTTAAGAATTTAGGGAATACATCTTGAGGGTCATATAATGCCGTTTGGAACCATATATGATCATTATATGTTGTCATAGATGTTAGTAGTAGGTTTGAGTTAATGAAATCGGTGTAAGTTGTAAATCGGTAAATTGGTCGTTTAAAGGCAAATTGGATGGTTCCACCCACCCAATTGGACTCCCGGATCGTATTAGTGACCATGTTAAGCATCTCGGCAATTTTTATTTCCGGGCGAAAATAAGATAAAAAATTCCAAAATTGAACTCTATTCCACGCTTTTTGAGAAATTTTGGAAGTTTCGGGGTCCGGTGTCGAAAAGTCTTGAAATTTTAGGGAATACATTTCGGGGTCATATAATGACGTTTAGAACCATATATTATCCTTATTTATTGTCATAAATATATATGGTAGGCTTAAGTTAATGAAAATGGTGCAAGTTGTAAGCCGGTAAATCGGTGTTTAAAGATAAATTCCAAAATTGAAGTCTAATATTTCTGGGCGACTAAAAGTCAAAAAATTCCAAAATTGAAGTCTAATATCCACGCATTTTGTGAAATTTTTAGGTTTTAGGGTTCGGTGTCGAAAAGTATTGAAATTCTAGGAAGTACATCTCAGGGTCATATAATGACATTTGGAACTATATGTGATCATTATATGTTGTTATAAATGTTCGTGGTAGGCTTTAGTAATGAAATCGGTGCAATTTGTAAATCGGTAAATTGGCCGTTTGAAGGCAAATTGGATAGTTTCACCCACCCAATTGGACGCACGGAGGATATTAGGGACCATGGTAAACATTTCGAAATTTTTTTAATTTTCGAGCGAAAATAAGTCAAAAATTTCCAAAATTAAAGGCTAATATCCACGTTTATATAGAGTAATTTTAGAGGTTTTGGTGGCCTGTGTCGAAAAATCTTAAGAATTAGGGGATACATCTGGGGGTCATATAATGTCATTTGAATCCGTATATTATCATTATATGTTTTCATAAATGTTCGTGGTAGACTTGAGTTAATGAAATCAGTGCAAGTTGTAAATCGGTAAATTGACCGTTTAAAGGCAAATTAGATGGTTCCACCCATCTAATTGGCCTCCCGAAGGGTATTAGGGACCATGGTTAATATTTCGGTAACTTTTGTTCTCGGGCGAAAAAAAGCCTAAAAATTCCAAAATGAAAGTCTAAGATCCATGCTTGTTCAGAAAGTTTGGAGATTTCGAGGCCCAGTGTCAAAAAGCTTTGAAATTTTTGGATTACATCTCGGGGTCATATAATGCCGTTTGGAACAATATATGATCATTATATGTTGTCATAAATGTTCGTGGTAATCTTGAGTTAATGAAATCGGTGCAAGTTGTAAATTGGTAAATAGTATGTTTAAAGGCAAATTGGATGGTTCCCCCCACGCAGTTGGACTCACGGAGGATATAAGGGACCATGGTAAAAATTTCGGCAATTTTTATTTACGAGCGAAAAAAAGTCAAAAATTAAAAAATGGAAGGCTACTATCCACGTTTTTCGAGAAATTTTGGAGTTTTCAGGGCCCGGTGTTTAAAAGTCTCGAAATTCTAGGGAATACATATCGGGGGTCATATAATGTCGTTTGGAATCGTATGTGATCATTATTTGTTGTCATAAATGTTAGTTGTATGCTTGATTTAATGAAATCGGTGCAAGTTGTAAACCGGTAAATTGGTCGTTAAAAGGCAAATTGGATGGTTGCACCCACCCAATTGGACTACTGGAGGGTATTAGGGACCATGGTAAACATTTTGACAATTTTATTTCCGAGCAAAAAAAAGTCAAAAAGTTCCTTAATTGAAGGCTAATTATCCACGTTTTTTGAGAAATTTTGAGGTTTCGGGGCCCGGTGTCGAAAAGCTTTGAGATTTTAGGGGATACATCTCGGGGTCATATAATACCGTTTTAAACCATAAATGATCATTATATGTTCTCATAAATGTTCTTGGTAAGCTTGGGTTAATGAAATCGGTGCAAGTTGTAAACTAGTTAATTCACCATTTAAAGGCAAATTGGATGGTTACACCCACCTAATTGGACTACATGAGGATATTAGGAACCATAATAAAATATTTCGGCAATTTTTATTTTCAGGCGAAAAAAGTCTAAAAATTCCAAAATTGAAGGCTAATATACACGCTTTTACGGAAATTTTTGAGGTTTCGAGGCCCGTTGTTGAAAAGCTTTGAGATTTTAAAGAATACATCTCGGGGTCATATTATACCGTTTTAAACCATAAATGATCATTATATGTTCTCATAAATGTTTTTGGTAGGCTTGAGTTAATGAAATTGGTGCAAGTTGTAAACTAGTTGATTCACCATTTAAAGGCGAATTGGATGGTTCCACCCACCTAATTGGACTACCTGAGGGTATTAGGAACTATGGTAAATATTTCGGCAATTTGTATTTTCAGGCGAAAAAAGTCTAAAAATACCAAAATTGAAGACTAATATCCACGCTTTTACGGAAATTTTTGAGGTTTCGAGGCCCAGTGTCGGAAAGCTTTGAGATTTTAAATAATACATCTCAGGGGGTCATATTATACTGTTTTAAACCATAAATGATCATTATATGTTCTTATAAATGTTCGTGGTAGGCTTGAGTTAATGAAATCGGCGCAAGTTGTAAAACAGTAGATTTACCATTTAATGACAAATTGGGTTGTTTCACCCACCTAATTGGACCCCCGGAGGGTATTAGGGAGAATGGTAAACATTTCGGCAATTTTTATTTACAGACGAAAGAAAAAGTCCAAAAATTAAAAAATTTAAGGTTGATATCCACACTTTTTGAGAAATTTTAGAGGTTTCGAGTTCCGGTGTCGAAAATCCTTGAGATTTTAGGGGATACATCTCGGGGTTATATAATGCCGTTTGGAACCATATATGATCATTATATGTTGTCATAAATGTTCGTGGTAGGCTTGAGTTAATGAAACCGGTACAAGTTTTAAACCGGTAAATAGGCCGTGTAAAGGCAAATTGGATGGTTCCATCCATCCAATTGGACTACCGAAGGGTATTAGGGACCGTGATAAACATTTCACCAATATTTATTTACAGGTGAAAAAAAGTCAAAAATTCCAAAATTAAAGGCTAATATCCCCGTTTTTTGAGAAATTTTGGAGGTTTCGGAACCCGGTGTTGAAAAGACTTGAGATTTTAAGTTATATATCTTGAGGTCATATAATGTCGTTTGGAACCATTTATGATCATTATTTGTAGTCATAAATGTTTGTGGTAGACTTAAGTTAATGAAAACAGTGTAAGTTGTAAACTGGTAAATTGGACGTCTAGAGGCAAATTGGTGGTTCCACCCACCCAATTTGACTATCGGAGGGTATTAGGGACCATGGTAAACATTTTGACAATTTTTATTTTGCGGCGAAAAAATGTTAAAAAATTCCAAAATTGAAAGCTAATATCCACGCGTTTCTGGAAGTTTTTTAGGTTTCAGGGCCCGGTGTCGAAAATCTTTGAAATTTTTAGGGGATACATCTCGGGGTCATATTAAACTGTTTTAAACCATAAATAATCATTATATGTTGTCATAAATGTTTGTGGTAGGCTTGAGTTAATGAAATCGGTGCAAGTTGTAAATCGGTAAATTCGCCATTTAAAGGCAAATCGGATAGTCGACCCACCTAATTGGACTCACGGATTGTATTAGGGACCATGGTAAACATTTCGGCAATTTTTATTTACGGGCGAAAAAAAGTCAAAAAATTCAAAAGTTGAAGGTTAATGTCTATGTTTTTGGGAAATTTTGGAGGTTTTGAGACCCGGTGTCAAAAAGACTTGAGATTTTAGGGCATATATATCGGGGTCATATAATGTCGTTTGGAACCATTTATGATCATTATTTGTTGTCATAAATGTTCGTGGTAGGCTTGAGTTAATGAAATCAGTGTTAGTTGTAAACCGGTAAATTGGCTGTTTAAAGACAAATTGGATGGTTCCACCAAACCAATTGGACTGCCGCAGGGTATTAGGGACCATGGTAAACATTTTTGCAGTTTTTATTTCCGAGCGAAAAAGTCAAAAAATTCCAAAATTGAAGACTAATATCCACGCATTTTGCGAAATTTAAAGGTTTCGGGACTCAGTGTCGAAAAGTCCTGAAATTCCAGGGAATACATCTTGGTGTCATAAAATTCCGTTTAGAACCATATATGATTATTATATGTTGTAATAAATGTTCGTGGAAGACTTGAGTTAATGAAATCGGTTCAAGTTGTAAATGATAAATTTGTCATTTAAAGGCAAATTGGATGGTTCTACCCACCCAACGGGATTCCCAGAGGGTATTATGGACCTTGGTTAATATTTCGTCAATTTTGATTTTTGGGCGAAAAAAGTAAAAAATTTCCAAAATTGTAGGCTAATATCCACTTTTTTGAGAAATTTGGAGGTTTTAGGGCCCGTTGTCGAAAAGCTTTAAGATTTTAGGGGATACATCTCAGGGTCATATTATGCCGTTTGGAACCATATATGATCGTTATATGTTGTCATAAATGTTCGTGGTAGATTTGAGTTCATAAAATCGGTGCAAGTTGTAAATTAGTAAATTGGTCGTTTAAGGGCAAGTTGGATGGTTCCACCTACCCAATTGGACTCCAGGAGGGTATTATGGACCATGGTAAATATTTCGGCAATTTTTATTTCCGGGCGAAAAAAATCAAAAAATTCAAAAATTTAAGGCTAATATCCACGCTTTTTCAGAAATTTTTGGAGGTTTCGAGGCCCGGTGGCGAAAAGTCTTGAAATTTCAAGGGATACATCTCGGAGTTATATAATACTGTTTTAATCCATAAATGATCATTATTTGTTGTCATAAATGTTCGTAATAGACTTTAGTTAATGAAATCGGTGCATGTTGTAAACCTGCAAATTGGTTATTTAAAGGCAAATTGGATAGTTCCACTTACCCAATTGGACTCTCGGCGGACATTAGGGTTTATGGTAAACATTTTGGCAATTTTTATTTCCGTGCGAAAAAAAGTTTAAAAATTCCAAAATTAAAGGCTAATATCCATGCTTTTTTAGAAATTTCGAAAGTTACGCGGCCCGGTGTCGAAAAGAAATGAGATTTTAGGGGATACATCTCGGGGTCATATAATGCCGTTTAGAACCATAAATGATCATTATATGTTGTCATAAATGTTCGTGGTAGGCTTGAATTAATGAAACATTTGTCGTTTAAAGGCAGATTGGATGGTTCCACCCACCCAATTGGACTCCCGAAGGGTTTTTGGGACCATGGTAAACATTTCGGCAGTTTTTATATCCGGACGGTAAAATTTGGGTCGGGTCAATAACTAGTCGGGTTGAATTTGGGTCACGTCAATAACAAGTCGGGTTGATTTCGGGTCGGGTTTGTAACAAGTTGGTATAAATTCGGGTCGGGTTAGGAACAGGTCGGGTTGAATTCAGGTCAAGTTAGTAACAAGTCGGGTTAAATTTGGGTTTTGACGGGTTAAAACGGGTTTTGGTCAATTTCGGTTCAAGTTGGGTTCGGTTCAGGTCAATAATTTACGGGTTACATTCGGGTCGTGTAATCTCCAGGTCAGTTCATGTTCGGGTTCGGGTCTCACATATTCGGGTCTAGGATTGGTTTTAGTTCGGGTCAGTCGGGTTTGGGTTACCATTTTTCGGGTTCAGATGGGTTGGTTAATAATCGGGTTTGTGTCGGTATTTTGGGTCTGGTCAACTTTTGACAGCTCTACTTTTTCCAATAAAATTTAACTGGAACAGAGGTATATAAAACAATTAAGTGTTGATCATAAGAGGACCATGCTCTAGAGAAAGGCTTTTTAATCAGACTTGAATTTCTTAGCCTCTTTTGCGTTATTTAAAGCACCTTTTCTTCCATGTTGTCTTTGATTACAGTTGATAAATTATCTTCAACTAAAAGAAACTATCACTATACTCTTAATTTTTGTACTCGCTTTTGTTTTGGATGTGTGAAGCAGGTGATGCAGTCCTCCCCTTCAATTCCTGTAGGAACAAGCAAAGATTCCCTTTCTAGTCCTCCAGCTTCTGGTATGGATAAATTATCACGATCAAATCTCAGCTTTCCTTAAAAATAACACTTGATACAGCTTATGCATCCTAGAAGCTGAAAGTTGCTCAACTTCACCAGTTTTTTTTTTCAAAAAAAAAAAAAAAAAAAAAAAAAATCTTTAACCTTCTCTCCAACAATTTTTGGTTTGTTGGAATAATTGAATTTTTCTTAAAGAAAAATAGAGAAAAGTGAGGCTTTTGCCCAAAAAAAAAAAAAAAAAAAGGTCTCTTGATAAGTCTGTAAGGAGGAGAATGACAGGATTTGAAATATATGAAGTGGTCAACATGCATCCAAAGAGACTGTAATAACATAGTCTGTAATGCCTTTGTTGATTGAGGAAGCTGAAGTAAACAGATCTTTTTCATTGTTGCAGCAATAAGAGATGAAAGTTACTGCTTACTAGAATTTTGTGTGACCAATACTGACAGATACTCAATTGATGCAATTTGTCTTTATATATTTATTTGTGATGTTTTGATGCCCTACCCCCTGGTGCAACTGCAGCATCAAAGTTGCAGAAGGTTCCCGTGCAAAAGATGGTTAGAACTGATGCATTAGATCCAGCAGGAAGGTTGCATGCATATATGCAAGTTAAGCCTTCTACTCAGCTTGAAAGAAATGCTAGCTTGAATTCTGTAAGGTCAGACTTTCATAGATGCAACATTGTTATAATTATTAATCATCAGTCTCCTTTTTCATTGTGCTTCTTAAGTTGTCATCTTTTTGTTTTTTCTTGGTTGGTGGGTGCTGGTGGTTTTAAAAACCACACCTCAATTCCTTACTTTCAGCAGTTATAGCTTGCTCTTTGAACTGGTTTTTGCTTTCACCAGCTAGGATATTTGCTTCATACAAAGTTTGTTTAGTTGGTAATGTTGAAAAAAGAGCAAATCATATTCTAATATTTGTGACAGGTTGGAGTTTAAGAGTGTTTCTACAACTCTCCTAAGATTTCTGAATGGTGTAAATCTTGCTGACCTGCGTGTAAAGGATAGAGTCAGTTTTGGAAGTGATAGGAAAGTGAGATTAGGAGAATGCTAATGTCCAAAGCATTAAAATTTTATGGTGAAGGAAGTAGAACTCAGTATAATACCATAATTAATGTGTTCTGCTGAATAATTTAGTGAGTTTAATTTTTATGTTGTTAAATCCAGTAGATAAAAGCCGCCTGAGCTGCAAGGTGACACTGGCCATGTGTCTTTTTTGGTCTAGGCAAGTCTGGTTTGGTGAGGCACAATGAGGCACGCCTAGTTGCACAACCTTTATTTCCCCATAAACTTTTTATTAAGTGCACCCCATTAAAGCTCTCACTTCAATGAGGTGCAGAGAAACCCCTATCTCCTTTACACAAACTCAAATTGTCAGCCAACTGAGAGATTAAAATTGGAACCGAGTGGCAGTTTACCCTTATGAGATAAATACTTCTCATTTGTGATATTTTTCCTCTAAGCTTCCGTATTGTAAAGTGAATTAATATGGTCTCTTTAATGCTGTCTTTGCTACTGTTCTTCTGATATCGCACCTTGTGGTAGTCTTAAGTCCTTTTTCTTTACTGATTTTTTGCACCACATAATTTTTTTTTTCCCTTCTCTTTCTAATTTCAACTGATTTGTTGCACCTCATAAGTCTTTAATTGCATGTTTGCCATATCAGAACAGGTTTTTTATTTTGTCATGGTTTTGTTTTTGTGACTATGTTATGTTGCTGCCTCATGTCATCAAGCTCTGTTCTAAGTGTTACAATCCTCAGCATGACATCTTTTGTTTTCTAGTAATTTCTCTTTTTTTTTTTTTTAGATCATACCCAAGACCGTATTAGCGTATTGTTTATCTCTGTTGCAAGATATTTAATTTGGTGTTAACAAGCATTTGTTTGAGTGTAGTGTAGTATCTGGTGAATAACAATGTAAGAATCTCTTAGGATTGTTGTGGTTGTAATATATCTAATGATAAAGACGCAAATTGAATATTGTAGGTCTTCAATTATTAGACAAAGGAGAAATCCCAAGGAGAGTGCAGATCTTACCAGCATTCAGGAGCTTGTTGAGGAAATTGATAATAGCTCTCATTCTGGTGAGTTCTCCCCCCACCCCCTGTATGTACTGTAATAACTTTGAAGCCATTTTCAATTTAGCCATAGCTTTTCTTTTTATATTAATAATTATAGCTCATTAATTTGTATTTCTACCAGGCCTTCTTGATATTGTCAGAGGCTGCACTTATGTTGGAATGGCAGATGATGTTTTTGCATTGTTACAGTACAAGACTCATCTTTATCTGGCAAATGTAGTAAACTTGAGGTATCAATATCGGCTCTTTTACGCTCTTTACACTAAATGTTTTGGATTCATGGCAAGAATAAGCAGCTGTCTGATTGCCAATTGGCCATTCGTCTCTACATTTATCTTATAGTTTTAAAGTTGACTCTGGTCTACATTGTAAAGAAAATTAGTAAGGTTAGGATAGTACTTTAAGTCTACTGCTGGTCCATCATAGGGATCATAGAATCAAAGAATTGATGATCCTGCAATATCTGGAGTAAATTGCAGCATGCATTTTGGATGGAAAAACAACTATTGTTGGTTTTATCATCCTCCTTGCAGTCAGTTAGCCTGTTCTTTAGTTTGTGTGAGTTCCATATAAATCTAAGCATCAATTTTTACTGATCTCATCTGATTTTGTTTGCTTGTTACTTTTACCCCTTTTTCTGCCCAGCAAAGAACTCATGTATCAGCAAGTCCTGCGTCGTTTTGCTCATTTCAATGCTATAAAATTGAGTGACCCTGCTCCTCTCCCTGAGTTAATAATGCTGGCACTCAAAGAGGAAGATATTGATGCAGATGACAGTGAGGATGATGATTTGAAGAAGAAAATTGCTGAGGTTATTACTTTTCCTTTGTCCACTTTTCCAAAGAAAGTCCTGTACTCTTGCTCCCCCTGCTTGAGACCTAGGCTAGTACTTTATTTAACTGCAAATTAACATAATCAGATACCTTCATGTCCTTGATTTTTCCACATTTACATGTTATGTTTCTTATATTTATTACATCATTATCTCTGAACAAACCCATACTTTAAGTTTCCACTTGCACCATTTAATAAAATGCTTTTGATGTGATTTATTTTGAATAATTGGTCTACAGATGAACACGGAGCTACTCAAGGGAAAATCCGAAATGCTGGAGGAGTATTTCTGCATTTACATAGATCCTCAAGGGAATTTGTCCAGGCTTCCTGTCATACTTGATCAGTACACACCTGACATGGATTGTGTTCCTGAATTTGTTCTTTGTCTTGGCAATGATGTATTTTTCTTGCTCATTAGCTGCAATCTTCAATTTTTTCTTATAATTTCTGACTCTACTTTCATCCTGTGTGATGGCATAACCCTACTATTTGTCTCTTCATAGGTTGACTGGGAGGATGAGAAAGTTTGCTTTCAAACAATCTCAGCTGCTCTTGCAAATTTCTATGCCATGCATCCACCTATTTTGCCAAATCCATCAGGTGATGGCTTACAACACTATAGAAGAAAATCTCAACCTGCTGTGATTTCTATTGATGAAGATATGAACAGATCTGGTACTTAACTCATTAAAATCTTGTTTCAGTTGATAGAAGTTAAATTTAATACCTTCTTGAACAAGCTCGACTGTATGCAGAGCTTTTTGCTGAATTTAATTTCTGTTTTCTACAGCTCCTAGTGAGGTTAAGGACGATGAGATTGAACATGAACTACTTGCAGAAGCAGAGACAGCTTGGGCACAACGTGAGTGGTCTGTGCAGCACATCCTAGTTCCTGCTATGAGACTCTTTCTTAAACCCCCTAATTCAATGGCTAAAGATGGGACTTTTGTACAGGTAACAAGTGCATTCAAACTCATGTTAGTCTTTCCCTGTTACATAAACGAGATTTTATTACTCCCTCATCCTCAAATAATAGGCCGCATTTAATTAGGGATTGTTTTTTAGGAACAGAATAATATACCATTACTGGAGACTCATTCTCTTAATGTCAAACCGAAATTGGCTGTCGAGTTTTTATAGTTAATGCCTATAAGAGTGATCTACTGATGTAGGAAACTTCACATTTTAACTTAACATAGAAAGAAGTGCCCAATTATTTTGGAATGATCGAAGATAGAAATGTGGCATATTATTAAGGACGAAGGAAGCAATAATCTTTCTTTAAATAAAAAAGGAAGCAATAATCTTATTTTTCCGCGCAATAACTATCTTTGAAAATCTACATTGTTTCTGAAATTACAGGTGGCCTCACTGGAGAAGCTTTACAGAATATTTGAAAGATGCTAACAGGTTAGACTTGAAACTCTTAGCTAAGATGAGGAAAAATGATTGTTTGAAATATAGGGGATGTATATAAGTATGAATGAATGATAACTTTAATTAGGTGTCACCTGTCTTCTGTACATACAAATTGTCTGATGTCATCTGCAGTATGTATAAACTGCTGATTCAACAAATACTTTAGACTTTCAATGTGAAAATGTTGTAAACTTCTCCACTTATTATTCATGCTTTTTGGCCAAAAAGCAAATTTATCCTAGAAATTCCGATCTATCCTTGAGGGTAAAGTGACTATAAGTTTATGTCAAGTCGTACAATTTTTAATGTTACCTCAATATCAGCTTAGACTATGATATTCTATTTTTTTTTTTTTTTTTTTTTGGTTGTTGTGTGAAGAAGTTACATTAGTTTGTTTGCTTCAAGTAAGAAAATTCTATGATGCGTCTTAAGAAAATTCCATTGGTTGAGATGTATGCTGTTTGTGCATTAGATTATTATGGAAGTATATACTTGTACTCTGTATATGGTGACTCTGATGGTCCAAATCTCACTCACAAAAACACAACTCTTGGTCTGGGATTATTAGGTTGTAGGTATGTTGGGTGTGTTGGGAGACGTACAGTAGAAGTATTTTTGGTGGCTATTAATAAGAAATTATGTTACAGAGCATTTTCCGTAAATATTTAGAAAGTTAAATGTAAATTCGTTACGAGTTCAAATAGTATCAATTGAGCATTGTAATGAACAAATTTCAAAATACGTATTAGTTAAAATGGTACTCCGTATTAACATGTGGTTTCAACCAATTATTTTATCTTTTCTTTTTTCTCCCTTTTCATCGCCTAATACACCCACATTTTTGTTACCTCTTCATTTCTCTCTCAACTTTGTGATATTAAATTACCCTTTAACCCTTGTGAAATATCAGGGCTACAAGCCTTCAACTATCTTATTTAGACTCTGCCTGCCAATGAATCACTTGTACAAAAATCGACAAATAGGAGAGTTTGGACTACATCCAACTATCTAAGCTATTAAACAAAATTGGAGTGTTTGGACAACAAGTACGGAGAATTAAACAAACTCATAACAAAAAAGTAATAATTTTTAGTGATTTGGTGTTACATTTTTTTTTGTTTGTTTATTGTAAGATACATTTGATTTTTATATTAATCCAACATTTTGTAACTATTCATGGATTATGGAAAAATACCTACTTTCTCATAGTAGACATTCATTATTATATTAAAAAAAATCGTTGGAAAATTGGTACAAAATTGTTGACGAATGAATAAATTCCAATATGTTAACCACTTTCTATTTCTGTGTGGGAGAAGATTATGCTTTTGTTTGAGAAGACTGAATTATAAGCATGCAGTTGATATATAGTCAACATCTTCAGTCACTGTTACATTTACAATTTACAGCTGAGATTTCAAACAAGTAATTGACCTTGCAAACCTATATTATTTAAATAATACATTTTGTACTATTCTCTCCTACATGTCTACATGTTTCTATATCAATATATTCATTGAAATTGAAGTTTTAACCTTCATTGTTTTATTTTAAATACTTAAATAACAACTTAACATTCTATATTCATGGCAAAATCATTCTCTCCATTATAAAAGTAACCTTAATGTATGTTTTTGTTATTATTTCAAAATCATAAAGATATTGCTTGAAATTGTCATAAGATGATGTACTACATATCCTATATATAAAGTGAAAGGGGATTTTGGGCGATAAATTTCACTTTCTCAAAATACCCCTCTCATTTTTGTTTTACTTTTTTTTTAAAAAAAACTACCATCTAAAACATAATACCATCCTTTAATAAAAACTATCATCTTAAAAACCTAACATGTGAAAAAAAGAAACAAAAAAAAAAAATAAAATTCCATTGTGTAATTAATGTGAGAAAAGAAAATTAAAACAACCCTACAGGTTATGTATGAAAAAAAAAGAAAAAAAAAACTAATCAATTAATAATTTTAAGCGACTCATGTTATCTAAAAAAAAAATTATATAATTTTAAGCGTCATGATATGTACGAAGTACATTATGATAAAAGGCAATATTGTCCTTCCCCTTAAAGAATGTATTATTTAAAAATGTTTCAGGTGATCTTGAGATTGATTTCCTGAAATTGATTCTCATCACTTCTTCTTGTTGATATCTAAACCAAAAAAAAAAAGTGCAATTATATTAAAACGGGAGAAACATATATATGATCCGTACCCATTACTCCTTAAGCTATAGGCCACAACAATCAAAATGGCAAAATCCTTTGGTTATTAAAATTAAAACCTACTATTACTGTAATTATCTGTGTAAATTTATTATCATCTTCATTTACATCAGCACACACATCAATTTAGATAAGCATGACGTATGAACAACTTGCAGATGATTAAGTAGTAAACTCACCTGTAAATCTGAAAAAAGAGTTTCAATTAAGAAAATCATTACGTATACATACTAATAATTAATTAATCAAATAATTGATCATCAATAGTCTAATTAATTAGGACTATTATTTACCCTCTAATTAAATAATAAAAAGTTAAAATAGCATAAATTCAAAGGAAAAGTTAGTAAGTCCAAAAAGGTTTTTTTTTTATTATTTATTTATTTATTTATTTATTTTTGAGGAAAGTAAAGTCCAAAAAGTTTGGTAAGAGTGAATAATATTACTACTACGTTAGCGTAAGCAAATGCATGTAATTTCATCATCTTCTCTCACTCCTCTTCCCCTATAAATACTTGCTTTATCATTATTCTCATAACTTCCTACTAAATCCAAAAAATCCACTCTTTCAACAATTGTAAAAATAAAATATATATAATACTCTTTTTAAATAATTTTTGGATATTAATTAGTTAGAATTGTTAATTAGGAAACAAATTAAATTTAATTAAGAATTTGATATGGGTAAAGGAAGAAAGCCGTGTTGTGACAAAGCGGGTGTAAAAAAGGGACCGTGGTCTCAAGCTGAGGATTTTAAGCTCATCTCCTTCATTCAGAAACATGGTCATAATAATTGGCGAGCTCTTCCTAAACTTGCAGGTTTTTCTTCTCAATCATTATTCTCTTTTTATTGAAATTATTTATGAGTTGGTTTAATAGTTTTTAAGGCATAAAATAGCATATCTACGTGATTGTAGTTGCTTTGTTACACTTGCAGTATCATATGATCGTCTTATTCAAAAGACAAACAGTTTAGCACTTAGTATATTACAAAATGCGTAATTTTTACAGGTGGATAATTACTAAAGGATGCAATAGCTAGGGGGAAAAAGATATCACAATATGATCTGAACATTTAGTGAAAAGTTGCTAAGTTTATATATTTATATATACATATTTGGTGCGTGCGAAAAAGTTATTAGGTTTATGATTACTAAACATCATCATAAGTTAAATATTGTCTTAGATTCATCAAATCTTAAGAATTGTTTTCACCATTTTTGGAATTATGCAGTCTCGTAATGCTAATTAAGATCTTTAGAATGATTAAGTTTACCATATAGAATCTTAGATTATAATACAGTACCAACCATTATATCGTGTGTTTTAAATTGTTGCTTTTATTGACTTTTTTACTTAATGCACGTACATTGCCGCATGATAATATAGAATTAGTTTTCCTTTAGTTAGCTAGTAGTGTATCTCAGTTATATCGTAATTCAAAAAGCTATAATTGATATAAAAAGCAAAACATACATCAATTAAGCTTATATGGACTTATCTATTTTAATGATTTTACTACTCCGTACTAAATTGCTTATGTGATGACATGAATCATGATCATAATAAATACTCCAAACAGTGCAATAGACTTTTATGAAAGTTGAATTTGTCTACAAACTATGACAATGTGATTTGTCTATTTTGAATTAACAAGGTATATATTTTCGATCAAGATTGTATTTTCTAATTAGTTTTATACATCCTTTTTTCTGTATTATGACTATCATTGTTTCATTTTGAAATATCTTTATTTATTTATAAGAAAAAAAATAATTAATGATATATTAAATATATATATTGTGATAAATCCAATACCTTGTTATTTGTTACATAATATTACTAATATCTAAATGTATAATTATATGATTATGACCAAAGTAAGATTTATGAATAGTATAGAAAGACACTATTGAACCATTATTAAAATTTAAATAAATGAAGGAAGAAAGAATTTGACTATAAACACACAAGTATATATACATGTAGATTTTTTTAGCTTTTTACTCATATGGTTTACTTTTAATCTGAGTAACAAGGGTATTACACGAGTACAAATGAAGTAGAGAGAAATCGAACAGTGAAATAAATATCATACTTATTCATACATATGTTATTCATATAGCACTAATTAGTGATCAAAATTTATTATATTTTACACGTGAGAACCGGCCTTATGATAATTAATTTATGGTGGTGGGTTGATGATAAGTTGCTTGGTCACTTAGTCAAAGAACTTAACCAACCAATAAAATGATTGTCTTCAAAGGGACCAAAAACTTTTATAGGTAAACGAAGTCAAAGAAATTTACGAAGCAAGGCATTTTAAGTGGAGTAAAACATTCCAACCCTACGGTCTTTATCAAGGTTGTTGAGTGATTTCCCCACCCAAACTAATATAGAAAATAACTCTTCCACATACTAATTAATTAATTAATCATTCAATTAATGACATCATAAGCATAAAATAAAGAGTATGAGTTAATTTAAACCTAATCACATCAATGTTGTTATCATCTCATTTAAGTTAACTAGTTTCCTTGCTTGTCTTATTAATTATAATAATATGCCATAAATGATGATCATCCTATGTTTGTTTTTTTAGGATTAGCACGATGTGGCAAAAGTTGTCGTTTAAGATGGGTTAATTACCTTCGACCAGATCTAAAACGCGGTGATTTCACTCCCCAAGAAGAGGAAATCATAATCAAGTTACATGAAGCGCTGGGAAACAAGTAATTGTTCAAACCTATGCATAATTTGAACCATTTTTGGTGAGATTTAAATGCTAATAATATAATTTCTAAATGATCATTAATGTTTATATTATTCAGATGGTCGAAGATAGCATCACATTTCCCGGGAAGAACTGACAATGAAATAAAAAATGTATGGAACACTCACTTAAAGAAACGCCTCAAAGAGAAACGTTCTAGCAATGATTCTCCTATATCATGTAACGCATCATCCTCAACAAATACTCCTAATGAAATTACTATTGATGGAAGCGACAACCAACATTGCTATAAACAAGTCCTCACTCAACAAACAATCACAAACAACGACACGATAGAGTATTCAAGCTCATCATCTACCTCTTCAAACTCACAAGCCTCATGTTCATCGGACCATCAAATGATCGAAAATGTGGAGCACCCTAATAAGGATGAAACAAGCGCGTGTGTGGGCAAGAACATCGAAAATAATAATTCACTAGACGAGCTATTTGAAATTCCTTACGAGCCAAACTTGGACTTATGGGACTTGTTACATGGAGACAATAATGAAGTCCAATTCAAAGATGTTGACACACCAATAATATATGAGAATGACAACAAGAATGAAAATGTAAAGCAAGGTGATGGAAGTTGGTGGTGGTTAGTATACTTGGAAAATGAACTTGGACTTGATCATCTAAATCAGTCTACACCACTACAATCTACCAACAATACTACTTCAAGTTCAAACCATGACTTAGATTTTAATTTCCTTCTAAATTCACCTAATTAGTTAATTAGTTCAACATCTTCAAGTTGATAGTATATAATATGTATATGTATAGATAATATTCAGTCAAATGTAGATTATTGACAAATTAAAAGTTAGTTTGTCAAGGATTTATAATTCGTACTAAGATTGGACCAAAATTGTTCAACTCCTCATATAATTAATGGTGTTAAATTTTTATGGTTTACACCGGCCGTTTGAATATACTCCGTATTAGAGCATGACCATACATATGCTATATGAATTTGTATAACATTTTGAGTCAAATACTAATACTACCTCCGGTCCAAATTACTCCCAACTTTGGGGTATTATTTGTGAGATATAAAATATTCCAAAGTTGTGAGTAATTTGGACCAGAGGTAGTATGTATTTTCGTGCTTTGCAACTACATACCCCGTACTATATAATTAAGTTAATGTCCCCTCTTGTCAAAAATTATTTTAATTACGATCCTGCTAACGGACGCCCCGGACGTTAGATAAGAGCAAAATTTTTTGTAATCTATAAAATAACATTGATAATAATAATTAAAAATGCATTAAATTAGCTAATTTAATACATGGTCAACTAATTTACCTTTCCCAAAAAAAAAAAAAAAATTAAAAATGCATTAAATTAGCTAACGAACGCTCCGAGGCGTTGGATAACCCTATAGAGTCAAAATAATTTATTTATTTATTTTTTTGCTATTGCTACTTGTATGCATGTTACCAAGTAGAGCTGATCATAGGCAGGCCTAGCCTTGGCTAAAAAGGTTTGCCCATTAAATTCGTAGACAAATCCACTAGAGTATTTCAGGCAAAAAATCCACAGCGTGTTCAAACCCGCTATCTTGGTCATTTGGATAGAGCTAAATTTTAACTAAGAATAAAAATTTAGGTTGTCCAAAATTCAACACTGAACCTATCATTTTTTAAGCTGCTCTACATTTAATACTGTCTAATTCCAACAGTACTAGAAAATTTGTTAAATCTATACCTGTCTAGTATGAGATTACATATCAATCCATTTTAAATTTTAATGTAAAAAACCAAACACGAAACACTCCCTAAAATTTGTTAAATGTAGCAAAGAAAAAACACGGGTTTTATTAAAAGATCGGCCGAGTCATATTTTGAACCGGGCTGCATTTGAAAACAATGATGATCATGATTGACTGATTGAGTGTTGTAACTTGTGTTGTGTACTTGTGAGTGGTGTTGGCTGATTTTTCTGTTTTATTTGATGTATGATTTTGTGTTTGTTGCGATGTCAACGTGGTCGTGCTTGGGGGAGCAAGAGACTAGTACTAGGTACCGGGAGCAATGTGACTGTTTGTGCCCAAGTACAGATGACGAGGTTGTTGTGTGTTGTGTGGTGCGTTTGGGTTGTCTATAAGTATTCGCTGCTATCTTGTGCTTACAGGCTGTAGGACATGTATATTTGTGATCATGGATACTGAACCATTCAATTGTGTGTTTTAGAAACTAAATAGATGAGCATAATGGCGGCACGTGATGCCAAAGGAAGAGACTCCCTCTTATTATAACAGAAGCTGAGTCTTTGAGAGAGAGTTTCAAGAAACCCAAGTTCACCAAAGGTATTGATTGATCCCTCTGTGGTTTTTGAATTTGATCCCACATTAATTGCTAGCAGAAATATTACCTGTATGCACAAAATCGTGGAGTGGAAGTAGGTATTCGCCATTTGTCTCAGGCTATAACTAACCTCTTTGACAACTAATTTCTATCTCTTAATCTCTAACTAAACCAAATCTTTTGGGGTTTCACCCTCCTAGTTTTAAAATGAACAAATTCGTACTGCATAGATATCAATTAGGTGAACATATTTACTAATTGCCTTAAATTTACTCGCTAATGAGCGTACACATTCTACCTATTTTGTTTGCTTTCCTTTCCTTAAAGAATTTAAGTTCCCTTCCATGGCACAAGGTATATATGCTAGAGTTTTCTTTCTGTTCTACTTTTATCCTTTCCTGGGTCATTTAATTGCTCTGTTATTGTTGTGAGTATCTATGATTGCATTTGTTAGCATATAGTCAGTGTGTGTTTTTCATTATCATTATGATATTCTGCATGTTGCTAGATTTGGAGTTAATAATGTCTCTGATTTTTTTCCCTTTCTTGTCTCAATTCAGTTGTATGCTCCGACTCAACCATTCTTTAATGAACCTTGGATAGGTTGAGGTATGCACTTGACATCAGCTCTGCTGCATGTTAATGCTGCTGTCGCTACAACGAACTAATACTGCTGCTGCCACTCCTGGCGCTTCAGCTAATACTGCTGCTGCTAAAGCTGCCCACTACTACATGTTGCTGCTGCCAGCATTAAAGAATTATTACAATAATTTATTTATGAAACTATTTAAGCTTATACTTCGTATATATTTATATATTACTAACTTTTCTATGCACGCGATGTGAGCATTACACATTAATCAAAATAATTTATATCATTAGTTTTAAACAATATGTATATATCAAAATCTAATGAGTTAAGAACAAAGATGTATAGTCCAATATGTTGAATAGTTTAAACTAAAACTCTAGATAAAAGCAACCAACCAATTGAATGATAATTAATTACGAAGTAGTAGCTATTTAACCAGTATAACCAACAATAATTTCGATCAATTCATTAATGTGGCACATGGTTATACATAAGAGAAAGATAAAAAAAAATTAAAAATTAAAAATTAAAAAATTAAAAAAAATAAAAAAAAATAAAAAAAAAATTTGCGAGATAGTGTAAGTAAAAGAAGAGAAGATAGCGAGGTATTTTTAATACTAAATGATTAAAGTAATTGATTAAAGTCTTAAAAGGTGGTACCAACACTAAAAATTAAATTTTTCTTAAAAAAAAAAAACAAACACTATAAATTAAACTCCGTTTACATCCTTGGCTTTTCGTTGACTAGGGGTGACGTATACAAAAAGATGTGAATTCGATCCTCTCTATGATTTGACAAGGGGTGAAAGTTCGGTTTGCGGTTTGGATTATAGCCAAAACCGAATCCAATCCGAATTAATTCGGTTTCGGAAATCTCAATCCGAATCCAAACCGATTTAAGATTCAATCCAATCCAAACCAAACCAAATTATTTCGGTTTTTCATATTAGAATCCAATCCAAACCGAAATTTGTCCCCTTCTTTAACAAGATTCAAATCCGAAACCCGAACTTCACCCAAAAAATTCCTACAATCATTTCTTGTTAACAACATTCTTTGTGAGAGAGTAAGATATTAAGAAAGGAGAATTGAAAATTAGGTTTTTTTTTCAAGTTTATATATGAAAGGTGAAAGTGGTTGGATACTTTGAAAAAAAAATGGGTTTAACGTAATGGGTCGAAATTCGGTTTGTAATTCGGTTTTCGATTTTTTAAAACCCCAAACCAAATCCAATCCGTAATCCATATTTTTTAATTTTTCCAAACCGATCCAATCCGAATTCTAAAAAAATTCAAACCGAATGACTAATTAATCTAATTCGGTTTGATTTTCGGTTCTGTTCGGTTTTAATCCGAATATGGATTTGACAAGCACCACAAACAAAATTTTCAACCGATTCTCTTGGTGTTAGTTGGATTCTTATTTAGATTTTTGGAGTACTTTTCTAATTATCTTAATTAAACATGTGCATTCGAGATACATTCAAAATGAAAAGAATATCTTTTCAACAAATGTGAAAGTTACCGAAATTTATTTCTTTTAATTTTTTTTTTCTTAAAGATTGGAGTTCACAAAACTGCACTACTGAAAATAAAATTTTGTCGGCGCCTCAAATAATTTTAATTTGCTCGTGGGTCCAGCTCATTTAAAAATTGGCAGTGGTATTAAATTGTGTTTAGATGTGTCATCTAAATATCAACAAGGAATTATATTGATACCAACAAAATATTTTTACATTTGTTGATTCTACTGAATAAATATTTTGGTATCAAGATAATACCATCTAAACTATAATTTAATACCAACGCATGTTATTAGAATCATTCATTACTCAAATTATTATAGGTAGAGAATTCATCGTAAAGAAGTCTCCCTTTTCTTAAAATTATTGTAGTCCATCCACTGTAAATGAAAAGTGAAGTGAACTTGTTTTTTTCCCAAAAAAGTTGAACAAAACGAGGCTTTCAATTCATAGTATATAAAGTCTTATAGTCGTAACTTGTAAGCAGAGACGAATCTTTGTTAGGTCATTAGATAAAAAAGATGCGTTGCCTAAAAAATCTATAAAAACACTTCATGGTATAGTGGTCATAAAATCAATTTATAGATTTAAAACTAGCAAACTCTTTATATTTGGTCTAAGATCCACCACTGTTTGTTATTACATACTCCCTCTATTCTTATATTTTTGCTTAATTTGATTTTTTACGGTCTCTAAAACACGTTTTAAAACGAATATATTTCTATTTACTTTCATCCGTGTAAAAATAATAAAAATTTAATATTAATAAAATATACAATGAAATGAATCCACATGATTATATTATCTCTTATTAATTCAAGGGAATCAATGGACAAATTAAAATTTTCAAAATTTAATTCAAATATTAACTATAGGGCGAAAAAAATAAGAGACAGGGGAATTACTCAATTACATAAACGTTCACTATTAGCCTTGTACTCTTTGTTTGATTATTTATGCTATTAAATTATTGTCATGAGATTCATGACTATATATATTTTTTGGTCTTGATAATGACTACATATATGGCTCGATCGATTCCCTTACCAAACAATCAAATTCAACTAAGTTTAATTTATTCCTTCTCTCTCTCTCTCTCTCTAAAATGGGGGCAAGTGATGAAGAAAGGAACATTAACGGGCAACAAGATGATCACCAAGAACAACAACAACAACCATCCAAATGGAAAAAGAGTATCTTCATTACCATGCCATTCATCATAGGTAAATTTATACTTGTTGTTGCATGCATGTTTTTTTTTTTTTAAATTAAAGACGGATTACACTGTCATCGTGACTATATATTAACTCATCGCGAATATCTAACACACTTAAAATGTTGGAATTGTGACACATACAGCAAACGAGTCATTTGAAAAGGTAGCAAGTTATGGATTATTACCAAACATGATCGTATATTTGATGAAGGATTACAAGATGAGTTTAGCGAAAGGCCAAAATTTGATATACTTTTGGTCAGCTGCTACCAATTTTTTTCCTCTTATTGGTGCTTTTGTGGCTGATTCTTATCTGGGTCGATTCCTTACCATTGCTCTGGGTTCCGTCTTCAGTCTCTTGGTAATTCTATTAATATTTAATATCGAATTCTTTACTTATATTTAATTTTAGATATTATATTCATGGATATTATTCGCTATATATTTATTTAATTTTATACTCTATCTTTCTCTAATTAATTGTTTTATTTTTTTATTCTATAAGCTATCACTAAAAGATTTTAGACATCTGGTATTGTACTCAGGCCCGTTTCTGAGATTTCGGTGGCCTGAGGCAGAAACATAAATCGGGGCCATAATTCACATATACTATATAAATTTTTTTAAAAATTGGGTATGCAAAAATATTTTATTATGTTCGATAATATTTAAAAACATCAAAATTCATAAAACATTGAAATTACATTCTCTTAACTCTCGTTGAAGTAATTACACCAGCCGAACCATTCAAACCAAGTACTAACCCATCCATTAGATTTTTTTTAATACAAAGAAAAATATAATTTAATACAAAGAAGAGAACTTGATGGATAAAGTCGTGTATGCACCGTTCAAAAAAAAAAGTAGGGTATGTAAAGAGAATTATATATAATTAGATTAATCACGTTGAAAATTTAAGAGTAAAATGATCGTTTATTATAGTTTTCATCTTCAATTGAATTGCGAAAGAGAAGGAATTTAACTAACTGAAAATTATAATGAAATACATTTTGAAAAATAAAATTAACAAAAATAGAGATACAATAAAAATTAATGACTTTTTTTTGTTAATCAAATTCATTTGGGAAAGTGAATAAGTTGGGCAAAAAATTAGGGATGAAATACATTTACCAAAAATTCCATTTGATAATTTGGAATACTACAGTACTATTGTAGTGTTGTACATTACACACTTCTTGTTTTCTTTCTCTTCACATATATATATATATATATACGGTAAGATATGAGGGTACCCCTTTTATCACAGGATGGGTGGGGTGAGGATCAAACCCAGGTTATTCATGTGGGAGATGGAGGGACGGTTTCCCTCTACTACATGATCCTCATTTAAGCCTTATATGGTAATATGGTATGCAGTCTCATTTTGCCATTTATGATTGTTTCTTAGCTTATCGATATTGCAATGAATCTCCCTCTGTTTACTTTAATATTTTAGTGTTTTTTTTTTCTTTTTTCTTTTGTCATCTTATATACCAAGCAAACTAATACGAGTAGTCAACAATTGATTTCACCTGCTCCCTTCCATTATTGATTTCATCACCCTTTCCCTTCCACTCTTAATAAGCTTAATTCTTGGTATTTGCTTTTTGAACGGTATTAAAGACATTTTTTTTAACCATTATTCTCTTCTATTTATGATGTTAGTCCAATTTAGAATCTTTTGACTATTAATATTAAGAGGAAATCTAAACTAGTTTATGAGATCAATTTAATTCAACTTGGTGAGTACATTATTAGTCAGATGGTCTTTTAACAATTAGATATTGATAATGTACTCACCAATAATGCTCATATGTTTAATACTGTCTTAATTTACATAATTGTAATAATTACAGACAAAGGTTTATTATCATTGAAAGTTTACAGAATAAGTATACAAACGAATGGAGTAATAACTGTAACAAAATCAATGCTAGCCACTTGGTTAAAAACCTAAAACAGGCATTTTGCTTTCTTTATGAAAACAAAAGGTGTTTAAACAAGTCAAGTAAATTAAACTAGCCAACAATTAATGGTTACAAAATAAGGCCTAAAGTCAAAGTTAGTTGCTTTCTTTGTATTTAAAAAAGCAAGTTTATCTGGCAACAATTATGCTATGAGTAGTTTATTTGCATAATTTTGGCAAAAAATATATATGCTCATTTTTATTCAAATTAGAAAATTTTATTTTCAAAGGTACTCGGATCCCCCTACCATTTTAAGGTTACATCTAACAAAATTGATTGCCCCATCAAACTTAACTACGGAGTACTTAACATACAACATGGCAACTCGATACGAACCAAGATAGCATCACATAGGTTTATAGCTTAATAACTCCTTGAAAATGTGATTGTACAACTTATGCGTAACAAATTATATTTGAACAAGAACATTTTTCCAAAACAGTCCAAATTATTTGACAATATCGATAACCCACCAGCCAGAACTTTAAAAGAGTCATAAGATATGATCTTTTCTGCACTACGTGAATTCATATACCATGCAAAAGGAGCTAGAAATAGAGAAGTAATGAAGGGGTAATGCAAGTTTATCATCATTATAAATAAAAAAAAACAAAAAAAAAAACTTTTATTTAGTGGCATTTTCGTAAATAAATTAACAATTTTTTATCAAATGTGGATCCCATAAATGTTGATTTATTTACGAAAATATTATGCTAATTGAGATAGATTGGGGCTTCCTCAGTAATAAACGAGGAATGTAGCTATATATTTGGTTATGAATTACTTTGTAAATGTTATTGGGGGACAAAGCTGCTGCAAAACATGAATATGTAAAATTAGGCCATGTTGACATGTTGTGGCACATGAATCAACATTTTTGGTAAATATAAAGTATGTCAATAAATCAAAACCAATCAATTTTATTATTATTATTATTATTATTTATTTATATTGCTATTGTTTAATTAATGTACTTGAAAGAGCATATAATCATGGGCCTTCAATTATGAGCTTAATTTCTTGGTGATCATTTGACATAGTATCAAACCAACGTGACAAGAAGGTTACTGCTGGTCCAAATTTCATACCCCTCGATTGTTGAAATAATCTTGCAATTCTAGAGTAACGACATTGGAGAACATTTAGCCTTATAACGTACCTATACATATGTGATGTATTAATTGTAAGAAATTTTCTTGATGCAGGGGATGACTCTACTCTGGCTAACAACAATGATCCCAAATGCAAAGCCACCGCCGTGCAACACCTTAGCCCATGACTGCAAATCCCCAACATCAGGGCAATATGCCATCCTAGTGTTTGCCTTTCTCATCATGTCAATTGGTGCCGGTGGAGTAAGGCCTTGTTCACTAGCTTTCGGCGCTGATCAAGTAGACCGAAGAGACAATCCCAAGAATAAAAAGACTTTGGAACTCTTTTTCAGCTGGTACTATGCATGTGGTTGCTTTTCTGTAGTAATTGCTATGACAGTAATAGTGTACATTCAAGATCACTTGGGTTGGAAAATTGGGTTCGGCATACCAATTATTCTTATGCTCTTATCGACCATCTGCCTCTTGCTTGCTACTCCTCTTTATGTGATGAATAAGGTTAAGAGTAATCTCTTTATTAGCCTTGTCAGAGTTGCAATTGTTGCTTTTCGAAACAGAAAAATTACTCTGCCACCTCCAAGATCAAATGTGGATTACTATTATCTTAAGAAAAATTCGACAATAACTTCCCCAAGAGATAGATTAAGGTATGTTTCAATCTTATAAGTGTGCTTAATTAAGTTCTGTTTAATATTGTTTCAACTTTTATATGTTAACCTAGGTACTATACATAAGTATCTAATTAACCTAGTGTTTTATATATCTTAGCATCTTGCAATGTAATATTCATACTAGTTGTTAGGCCAATATAATGAGTTTTAATTTGTGCTATGGAATAAACAACTAAGCATGCTTCTATCTAATACTAGTATATCATTTTATAGGTGCTTGAATAAAGCTTGTATCATTCAAGATGTCTACCGCGACATTGGGTCTGATGGAATAGCGAAAAACCCATGGAATTTATGCACGGTAGAGGAAGTTGAAGAGCTAAAGGCTCTTATAAGAGTCCTTCCCATATGGTCGACTGGGGTCTTAATGTCCATACACGCGAACCAGAGTTCATTTGGTGTGGTCCAAGCTTTATCCATGGATAGGCACCTAGGCTCAAAGTTTGAAGTTCCAGCGGCTTCTTTTATTACGTTTCAAATCATGGTCATAGTGCTATGGATTCCTATCTATGATCGCGTACTCCTTCCCTTGGCATCAAGGATCAATGGCAAACCTATTAGCCTAAGTGTAAAGTTAAGGATGGGGATCGGACTCTTTTGTGCATTCATGTCAATGTTTGTAGCCGGAATTGTGGAAAACATACGAAGAAAACGAGCCACTAGTGAAGGGTTGGCAAGTAACAATAGGCATGCAATCCTTATGTCTGCCTTTTGGCTAGTACCCCAAAATTGCTTAAGTGGCTTAGCTGAGGCCTTCAACGCGATAGGGCAAAACGAGTTTTATTACACCGAAATGCCCAAGAGCATGTCAAGCATAGCAACATGCCTCTTCGGAGTTGGGATGGGTGTTGCAGGGCTATTATCTAGTGTAATATTGAACTTGGTGAATGATATTACAACAAAAAGAGGCAAGGAAAGTTGGGTTTCAAGCAACATCAACAAAGGTCGATATGACTATTTTTATTGGCTTATTGCTGCAATATGCTTCTTCAATGTCTTGTTTTATATGTTTTGTAGTTGGTGTTATGAACCTGTTGATGAGGTGCATAAGCAGGCTGTCAATCAAACACCAACATTGGCTAGACTGGAGAATAACAGCCTGCCGGCGAACGAAGAATTGAAAGAGGGCTAGATTTATTTGTCGATATATCATATATATTATTTGTAACCTTGATTTATTATATTGATTGGAGTACAATGAGAATATCCAAGTTTCTCCCCTAGATAAATAAGGAAATTTTATCAAATGGCAAGTTAGTAAATAAAGAGTCTTGAAATACGTGCTACCACATTAAAAAAATATTTTCTATCACTTTGTGAACAGTTTTATAAGTTCACAGTAATTTCACCAAATCTAACACCATTTGGTGACTGGTCCCTGCTATCTTCTTCCATTTTTGAGGCTCATAATTTTCCTCCATTTTTGAGCTCCATAATCTTCCTCTATTCATGACAAACACCCCACCCTTTGGGGTTGAACATTCTCCTTATTTCCATACTTTTTCTTAGGGTTTTCTTTGAATTCCACCATTGTTGAACGTCTTCACCCCCGATCTTCCTCCATTGTTGAACATCTTCGCCGTCGTGTTCCTCCATGATTGTTGAAGCTTTATGTATTGTAGTTTAATAGACCAGCAATAGGTATGAAGCAGACGACATCTAACGACGTTACTTATGAGGGTAACGATGGTGCAACGGAATTTACGCATATACCCTTCAGTATTTACTAGAATTGACAACTTTACCCCTTGATAAACGTTGGTGAGAAACCCTGGCTAGCTCGAGTACAATTTAGGGAAGTGATTTTGGCGCACCAAAAAGTAATTTAGGCACACTCATTATTAGAGCACAATTTTCTATGTACCTTTTACATAGAGGTATGTCAATATCAATATTAGGTTTGCCAAAATCAGCTTCTATAATTTATGAGGATAATTTTCAAAAGGAAAAATTGCCGGGAATAATCTCACCTTTGGGGCATCCTCTAAAAATAATCCCACCTTTGGATTATTTTTAAATAATCTCATCTTTATACCCAATCTACTCCCAATGATCCCAACCGGTCAACTAAATTATTATAACAAGTTACCTGACACGTGTCGGCCTGTGATTGGTAAAAAAAAATAAAAAAAATTAATTGATTAATTGAAAAAACCACCCACAAGCCCCAGCCACCCTCCCCGCCGCCTGTTCCTGTCGGCCTTGTTGTCGGACTCCCCTGCCCCACAATGCCGACCGCCCAGACCGCCTCTCCTAGCGCTGACACCCCCCTCCCCTGAACCACCAACCTCCCTACCACCGTCACGAAAACCCATTAAAACCAACCATCCCCCAACCCTCGAAAACCCTTTCTCCGCCCCGATCCCGGCTCCGCTCCCCTTCCCCCATTTTGATTTCGGCAGCTCTCCCCTTTCCCCATTTTGATTCCGGCAGCTCTCCCCTTCCCCCTTCCCGATTCCGGCCTTCCTCTCCTTTCCCTGGCTCGAGTTCGGCCTCCCTCACATTCCCCCGCCACAATTCCGGCCTCCGTTGTCACTCTTCCTTGCCTCGATTTCGGTCGCCCAGACCACCCACAATAGCGACGACGACGCGAGCACCGATCTAATGGTTGCTGCAATTCGGCGATCGAGTGTTGCGGTGGCTAGGGCTGGTGGAGGGGGTGGCTGGGTGACTGCTTTTTTTTTTTTTTTTGATTCAGATTTTTTTTAATTTTAAATTTTAGACAAATTGTATGGTAACACGTGTACTTTAAAACCCAAATTATTTTTTTTTACCATTTTAACAGGTAACCGGTCACTTGTTGGGTGCAGATTGGGTATAAAGGTGGGATTATTTAAAAATAATCCAAAGATGGAGTTATTTTTAGCGGACGCCCCAAAGATGGGATTATTCCCGGCAATTTTTCCTTTTCAAAAAAGGTATTTACCATAGAGTGCCAAAATCCCTCATAAATTATGGAAGTGTTAAATATAGAATAGAAAATAAAGAGAGATGAGGGAAGATTGTTACGTTCTATTTCATATTCTATCTAGTACGGGATATATATAATGTACATTACCTAGGGTTCCATCAATGGATAAGACCAAATACCCAACTCTAGAATATTCTAGATTGTACATGGGATAATAGTCATCCATATTTAGATATTATCATAACACTCCCCCTTGGATGACTATATATTGAATAAAACAATAACTAACATTTACTACAAAACCCGTACAAAATAATACACTATAATGCGCATAATATGTTGCCTCGTTAAAAACCTTACCAGGAAAACCCAGTGGGAAAAAACCACGGTTAAGGAAAAAAGAGTGCAGCGCGCATTAACTCCCCCTCATGACTACATCACTTGAGATTTTTAAGACGACGCAATCCAATGCCGTAAGCTAACTTTTTGAATGTTGCTGTTGGAAGAGCCTTAGTAAATAAGTCTGCTAAATTCTCACTTGAACGAATCTGCAATACATTTATATCTCCATTCTTCTGAAGATCATGAGTGAAGAAAAATTTGGGTAAGATGTGCTTTGTTCTGTCGCCTTTGATGTATCCTTCCTTAAGTTGAGCAATACAAGCAGCGTTATCCTCATATAAAGTTGTTGGTGCCTCTTTCCCATATGATAAACCACAAACTTCTTTTATATGTTGAACTACCGACCTTAACCATACACATTCACGACTAGCCTCGTGAATTGCTAAAATCTCAGAATGATTGGAAGAAGTAGCTGCAATGGTTTGTTTCATGGAACGCCAAGAAATGGCAGTACCACCATATGTGAACACATATCCAGTTTGTGACCGACCATTATGAGGATCAGATAAATAACCTGCATCTGCAAAACCAATCAAATTTTCTTTGGACAATTTTGGGAAAAATAAACCCATATCCTTCGTACCTTGAAGGTAACGAAGTAAATATTTAATCCCATTCCAATGCCTTCGGGTTGGACATGAACTAAACCTTGCTAATAAATTAACTGAAAATGATATATCAGGTCGTGTATGACTTGCAAGGTACATTAGTGCTCCAATTGCACTAAGATACGGTACTTTAGGACCAAGAATTTCTTCATCATTTTCCCGAGGTCGGAATGGATCTTTCTCTACTTCAAGTGATCTTACAACCATAGGGCTTCTCAATGGATGTGTTGTATCCAAAGAAAATCTTTTAAGAACCTTTTCTATGTATGTTGATTGATGCACAAGGATTCCATTCTCTAGGTGCTCTATTTGTAACCCCAAGCAGAATTTTGTCTTTCCTAGATCTTTCATTTCAAACTCTTTCTTTAAATAATTAACAGTCACTAAAATCTCTTCAGGAGTACCAATGATATTTAAATCATCAACATACACTGCAATTATAACAAATCCTGATCCAAATTTCTTTATAAAAATACATGGGCTGATAGGATCATTCTTATAACCTTCTTTCAACAAATACTCACTTAGACGGTTATACCACATACGCCCAGATTGTTTCAATCCATAAAGAGATTTGTTTAATTTAATACAGAAATGTTCTCGAGAACTAGATTTTGCTGCTTCTGGCAGCTTGAATCCTTCTGGGAGCTTCATGTAAATGTCATTATACAGTGGGCCATATAAATAAGCTGTGACTACATCCATCAAACGTAAGTCAAGTCCTTCTCTTATTGCCAGACTAATCAAAAATCTAAAAGTAGTTGCATCCACCACAGGAGAATATGTCTCCTCATAATCAATACCAGGTCTTTGTGAGAATCCTTGTGCAACTAAGCGTGCCTTATATATTACAACTTCACCTTTTTCATTTCTCTTTCGCACAAAGACCCATTTATATCCCACTGGCTTTACACCTTCAGGTGTACGGACTACTGGTCCAAATACTTCTCTTTTTCCAAGAGATTTTAATTCTGCTTTAATTGCTTCTTTCCATTTTGCCAATCATTTCTTTCTCTACATTCTTCAATGGATTTTGGTTCATGATCCTCATTATTATCCATAACATCTAATGCTACATTGCATGCAAAAACATCATCGACGTCGATTTGATTTCGGTTCCATGTAATTCCAGACATGATATAATTTATTGAAATTTCTTCATTATCAGGTACCTGAATTTCTTCTTGTATCATGTCTAAAGTCTCTTCTGGAGATCCTTCGGAAATTGTTTCTTCAATTTGACCATCATCAATCAATGCTCCTTTTCTTTTTCGAGGATTCTTATCTTTGGAACCTATTGGTCTTCCACGTTTCTGGCGTGGTTTAGACTCATTAGCAATTTTATTTTGTCCTTCCGGGACATCTATTTTAAATGGAGCATTAACAGCTGGAATATGTGACTTGGTCACTCTTTTTGGGTCAGCAAACGAGTGTGGCAATTGATTCGCTAAACTTTGTAAATGAATTATCTTTTGAACTTCTAGTTCACATTGTTTAGTTCAAGGATCAAGATAGGATAATGATAATTCATTCCATTTCATTTCATTTTCCAGCTCTCTCTTTTCTCCCCCTAATGTTGGGAAAAGTGACTCGTTATAATGACAATCTGCAAAATGAGCCGTAAATAAATCCCCTGTTGTAGGCTCGAGATATTTAATTATTGACGGGGATTCAAACCCAACATATATCCCCAACCTCCTTTGAGGACCCATCTTAGTGCGTTGTGGTGGAGCTATTGGAACATAAACTGCACATCCAAAAATTCTTAGATGGGAAATATTTGGTTCCTGACCATAAACCAATTGTAATGGGGAGAACTTGTGATAACTTGTTGGCCTAATACGAATTAGTACTGTTGCATGTAATATAGCATGTCCCCAAGCAGAAATTGGGAGATTGGATTTCATAAGCAATGGTCTAGCAATCAACTGAATACGTTTTATTAATGACTCTGCTAGACCGTTTTGTGTATGAACATGTGCTACGGGATGTTCAACATATATCCCAATGGACATGCAATAATCATTAAAAGCTTGAGATGTAAATTCACCAGCATTGTCAAGCCGAATAGTCTTAATGGGAGTATCTGGAAAATGTGCCCGTAACTTAATCAATTGGGCAAGTAATCTCGCAAACGCCAGGTTACGAGTCGATAACAAAGACACATGTGACCATCTAGTTGATGCATCAATTAAAACCATAAAATATCTAAATGGTCCACATGGGGGATGTATGGGCCCACATATGTCTCCTTGTATACGTTCCAGAAAACTAATTGATTCAAAATTAATTTTAGCTGGTGATGGGCGAATAATCAACTTGCCTTCTGAGCAAGCAGCAC